TGATCCTGGAATTCTGTGATTCTATGATCACCTGATAGGGGGAATGGGTCAGAAACACTGAATAAATGGGGCTGTTGTGTCTTGGAAGTTGCTACAAGGTGAAGAAGTTCATGTTTCAGGTTGAGCCAGGGATAACCAAGGCACTTTTACAGTCTGTTGCTTGTGAAAGGCTTACTTGCTCACCAGGGCTCAGCTGACATCCCAAAATAAGCTGCAAGATGAGAGAACAAGGAGAGCAAGGTCAGCTTCCAGCCCTGGCTTCCCTCCATGAGCCCGACACAGGAATTCCCTCCAGCTCTGTAGGGCAAAAAGTGGTCTCAGACAGTGCCCTGGGCCATTAAATGTGATCATGAAATGGCCTTTCTCTGCTCTGTCTCCATTCTGTCATTCACCTGGGAGAGAAGCCTGCAAGGCCAAGCAGAGGAAAATGCTTTTTTCTGAGGTTTTATTCTGACAGGAGAAGTTTGAAGGTAACACAGAAACTCCAGAGAACAGTCCTGGAGGGACAGGAAGAGTCTGAGTGTGGTGGGCAGAGTCTGCACATTCATTTGTGCTGAAACTTTGCTGCTGCTGCTGCTTCTCCCCACAAAGTGGAAAGGCCAGGCAGGTGCTGACACACCAGCTCCTGCCTGTTGGGAGAAATTCCCTGTGTAATCATCCACCAGGAGCTTCTTAGAGAGGAGCAAACTCCTGTTGGCAAGACACAAACTCACCTGGTCTTAGCCTGAACATTTGGGAGTTGTCTTACCTCTGCTCCCATCCTGGGCTGGCTCTGGCTGGTGTCTCCAACCCTCCCCTCCGTAGTCTGGGAGTTACAAGCTTGAAGTTGAACACATTTATACTCCATCAGTACAAAAATCTAAGGTAGGAGAAGGGGGGAGATCCAGAACACTCTGAGGTGCAGCTCAGCAGGACTCTGGTCACCTGCACACCTCTGCAGGTGGAAACCACACCTTGTTCTGGGCTGGTGTGTCCCCTCCAGTTCCCACCCTGGGAACTGGCAGCAGATGTCCCCGTGCACCATCAGTGTGTGCTGCCCAGAGGGGTTTTGCTGTGAGAGCTGGTGCCCCTGGACATGCTCTGAGATTCAGGTTTTCCCTGCCCTGGAGCCCTGAATCAGGACAGCCCCACCAGCTGTGGGGCTGCTCCTGCTGGAGCCCAAACCCAAACCACCTTGCTGGAGCCCCTCTCTGGACAGGCACCCACCCACAGGGTCCCTGTCCCTGGGTCAGGAAGGAAAACAAGTGACATGTCCCCTCCAGCATCCCCACACACACAGTGTGTGCACCTCCTTCCCCTCCAGCCTTTGGCAAAGGCAACAGTGCTGTGAAAATTGTCCTGTTTTCCAGGGAAAACAGAGACATGGAAGGGTTAAACCAGCCTGTTGGCAGTTTGGGAACGGGAGGCAAGTTTCTCAGGCGCTGGTCCCCTCTGTTTTCCCCAATATACCAAAGGGCCAGACCTCATCTCTTTTGGATTTCCAGACATTTGACTTCCTTGACCCCTAAATATTTTCATCTCTTCTCCGAGCTGCTTTGAGTCCCCCGCAGGACACAAACCAGGAGGCTTTTCAGCCTGGCTGTGGTCAGGACACAAACCAGGAGGCTTTTCAGCCTGGCTGTGGTCAGGGACACAAACCAGGAGGCTTTTCAGACTGGCTGTGGTCAGGGACACAAACCAGGAGGCTTTTCAGCCTGGCTGTGGTCAGTGATACAAACCAGGAGGCTTTTCAGCCTGGCTGTGGTCAGTGATACAAACCAGGAGGCTTTTCAGCCTGGCTGTGGTCAGGACACAAACCAGGAGGCTTTTCAGCCTGTGTCCAGTCATCTGTGTTGGCCACGGGAGGCCAAATACTGCAAAGCCAACCCCGTGCCAGCGCTGCCCAGACGAGGGTGTTGGTGAAGGTTTGTTGCTCAGAGGGCTCTGTTTGCAGCCCCTCAGCTCCCTGGGCTGTGAGCCC